AAAAAAAAAAAAAAAAGACCACTCAGCTGATCTCAGGAGTTTTAAACAGAGGTTTGGGGGAGCAGTGGCTGAAAGGAGATGGGCTTGCGTAGGAAGAGAGGATTGATTTTGGTCTTGAAAGAACCATTCTGGCTAATATTTATAGTGTAGTGGAAACAACTCAAATTGACATCATGCAGATTTGGTTTTGAAATCTGGCCCTGGCTCACTGTAGCTCTGTAACCATGGCAAGTTTGGAACAACATGAAATATGAATAAATTCTGTGTGTTTGTACACTAAAGATGATGCTATCTTTTTTGTCTACTTTTCTGGGCTCTTTTCTGAGGATCAGATGAAACCATGTGTGTGAAAACACACTGAAGAATATAACACTAATACAGGTAGGTGAGGGACTATTAATTTCCACTCGCCCCTCTATGCTGATATGATCCCGTAACATTGTGTGAGAAAAATATTTAAGCAGTATGACCTACTACATATTTATATAGCAAATAAATTTTTAAAAAGAGTCATTTTATTGTTAAAATCAAGAGTAGACTCTTGAATACTGAAAATTCTCCAGAGCCAAAGAAGGTGAGTTTTAGACATCCTGACAAGTAGACAGGGGTGGGGTTCCTATTGAGATGGAAAGGTAGGGGGTTCAGAGAAGGTTCCACAGTGTTGTTTAAGCTACTTTGCATTTCTCTTTGTGGTCTCTGCCCTGGGGGACCCCTCCACTTTGAGGAAGGTGGAGTGATTTAAAATGCATCCACTTTAAGCTCCGGCTGACCCTGCAACTGGCTAATGGGAAAAGAAGTCTGTCGCCAGCCTATATTCTTTACCATACGAATTTATTGAGAAAGAAAAGAATGTTAAGAGATGGGGTAAGGGAAGGCAGATGACAGAGAAGAATGGCTTATAGGGCATGGATAGGAGAGGAAAGGTGAGGGATTTGAACATCCTGTCTGACACTCAGGCGGAGACAGATGTGGTTAGTTATAGACTGGGGGAGAAACAATATAACTTGAGCCCAGTAGGGTAATGGAGAATTTTTGCTGCCTGAGTCAGAGCGGGAAGCAAGGGCACAGGCTTCTAGATCTTGTTGCAGAAAGATTGATTCCGACAGCATATAATTTGCATCCTGGTTCCATGGGAGAAGAGGTTCATTGATGGGCACATATTCTCACAACCCTGAACCATGAATTGGAGTTTTCCACCTGAAAGAAGTAGAGATAGACTATAGTGAGCAGAAGGCTTCCTTCTCCCACCTTAGCCTTCATCCATGGTCCCCGGTGTCCCCATACAGGCACGACCAAGGTCTCCAGCTTGTATATTCTTCCACCCCTTCTCTTTCCATCCGCCTTTTCTGGGCCCTTCCCCATATCTGTTGCCCACTGCCTCTATTGAGGGACTAGACAAACCACAAGGGAAATCAGGCAGTGTGGTTCACGGGAAATCAGGCAGTTTTGGTGATGAGGAGTGAGTATAAGAGTAGAGAGGTATGAGACTATACTAAGATAGTTCTGGCAACCTATGAACACTGACTGATAGACAATTCTTTATTCATTTATTCAATATTCACTAAATGCCTTCCATGAACTAAACATTGTGCTAAGTGCTAGGAATATATAGCCATGAACAAGACAGACATAGTCCCGGGCTTATGGTCAATGTGTCAACATCTCAAAGTGCAACTCACACATTTCTTTAATACAAAGAGTCTCCCTGTCTCCTTTTAAGACATCATAGGCTTGCTCTATGGAGGGCCTCTACCTCTCCATCAGTAGCTGGAATGCTGCTCTTAATTCTTGAAAGGATAAGGTTCTCCTGAATCTCCAAGTTTCTGGGGAATCACAACTTGACCCCTCCTCAGACTGCCACCACTGCAACTACTCCCAAGAGTACTCAAGTTAGTGGATGTGTTTCCCTGGCAAAGATTGTATCATGAAGTCCCCACATACCTTCAAAGATCTTCTTTAACATGCACTGCTGGGAATTCTGAGTGGAGCAGACTCCCTCTCCACGAAGACATTTTCCTTGATCATTCATATATGAGCATGTGTGGCAATTTAATATTGGGCCTGCCAATTTAAGATAAGCCTAATGAAATTCCCTGGTGGTCCAGGTGTATAGCTATGAGTCACAAGGGGTGGGATGATGGGTAGCAAGGAGCCTGGATACACACATTTCATTGCTTGGCTCTCACTGAGCATCTGAGGGCCCTGCGTCTGATAGAGCATAGTCTCTGTTCTGTACCTGAGGAAATGCCTTCATTCTTACTGCTTCATCTATGATTTTCATTGCTGAAGAATCCCAGATTGCTCCCTATATTACTGATGTTTGTTCCATGCCCCCACTGGCTTCCTGGATATTTAGTTAGATGCCCTTCTGCCACGTCTGACTCCATAGGAGCAAAGTAGAACTTTTGTCACTTGACTGGCTCCCCTTTGTACTCCCCTGTCATGCTCTTACCCATACGGGACAAATGGAGTAAAAACTGATTAATAAGCTATGTTAGAATACTCTAACGTTGCAAACTCTGTAAAGGGTGATCAGTCTCCAATTTCAAACTGACCTTCAACAATGTCAATTTGTCACAAAGGGCATTCTTTTTGAAATGCTTCCGTTTTGCCTCTTTTGCTATCTCCATTCCCAATTCCCTAGTTGAGGAAGCACAAAGAAATCGAAAGGATGTGGGCTGAAGAGTCAGGCTGACCCAAGTTTGAATCCAAGGATTGCTCCTCTCTAGCAATGTGATGTTAGCCTTACTTCTTAGAAGATTTGGAATACTACTACTTATGCAATGGGAGGAAATATGAAGTACTTATATTTGGTAATATCTTGAGACATCAAACTCTGGGTCTTGTTTTCCTTCCTTGGACAACCCTTTTTAGTAAGAGCTAAAACATTGCAGTTTTACTGGGAACTTATTTGTGGATCTAATAGACAAAAGTGTGCTCATGCTTTATTGTCCATGTTCAAACAAAACAGAGCCACCTAGCCAGGGCTAGATATCCACTTACAGAGTTTGAAAAGCATTCTAACATAGTTTGTTGGGGCAGATTTAGCATGAAGCTCATGGAGCCTAGTCTTCCACGAGCCCCTTCCAAGGGAGTGTATTCATAGTTTCTTATGTAGAATAAAGATGGGGGGACTGCTGGCATTTTGTATTTGTGTGTGTGTGTGTGTGTGTGTGTGTGTGTGTGTGTGTGTGTGTGTGTTTTAAAGAGGGCCCTCAAAACTGCTTAGCTCTCAGGGCCCCACAAAACCTGCATCCTGCCTCCTGGTATTATTATCAAGAGACGTAAAGAGCGTCTTTGAGAGAGCTCTTCGTGAAGTGTTTGTGAATTAGTCTCTCTTCCATACCCTCTCCTTAAAGTTGGGTTTCTTGATGTTCTGCCTAGGTCACACCTGAAGTCAAGGACTAGTACCCATCCAGATGGGTACTGAAAAGGGGCCTCACCTGAAAGTGTGCTTGAAGGTGGAATGCCTGAAGGCTGTTCACCCGGTGGCTTTTCACCTGAAGCTTGTTCACCTGAAGCTTGTTCACCTGAAGCTTGTTCACCTGAAGCTTGTTCACCGGAAGCCTGTTCACCTGAAGGCTTCTCACTCAAAACTTGTTCACCTGAAGGCTTTTCAGCTGAAACCCGTTCACCTGAAGGCTTTTCAGCCACAACTTGTTCACCTGAAGGCTTTTCACTAGAAGACTGTTCACCAGAAGTCTGTTCACCTGAAGGCTTTTCACCAGAAGTCTGTTCACCTGAAGGTTGTTCACCAGAAGTGTGCTCCCCTGTGGTGTGTTCACCTGACATGTGTTCACCCACAGCATGCTCACCTGAAGTGTGTTCACCTGAAGCCTGCTCACCTGAGGCGTGTTCAACTGAAGCGTGCCCACCTGAGGTGTGCTCACTTAAACTGCTCTCGTCTGAAGAAGTCTCATACAAAGCCTCACCATCTGAAGGGTTTCCAAGTGAAAAGTACCCACCTGAAAATTGCTGAACGGAAGCTTGATGATCCATAGAACCAGGAGGTTCATCAGGCTGACCTGATGCTCCTGGGGTGGAGAAGGAACAGAAGAGAGAGTGAAGGTGAGAGAAAGAATGTCTGGGATAAAGACTGCTTTTCGTATGCAGTAAGGCTAATGTTGTGGGATTCCTGGGTTTCCTGTGGGCCAGATCAGGCACGTGAAGATATTACAGAGGTTGGGGGAACTCACTGAATTACCCAAGAGACCATGAAGGTCAGAGGCATTAGTAATGAAACACACAAAGACCAACCCTGGCATTTAAAGGAAGAATTTTAAGATCTGCGTTGTTAAGAAATGCACAGGGGGGCCCACTTGCCCATGTACCAAAAGCACCTAAAGGGAAAATAACGTGCTCCCCCTGACAAAGCCAGCATTTGGAAATCAAAGTACCATCATCACTCACATAACCAGAAGTCCACCCCAGCCCTCCCTCCAGTGTCTCTGTGGGTGAAAGGCAAGAAGGATGAGGATATGAAAGGGAAAGAGAAGCTAAGTAGTTCTGGCTGGAATTTAGCGTGGAAGGTTTTAACCTTGACAGGATAAATTTTAAATTAGAGATGACAAATATCTAAGGAACCCACAAAAATTATGAGACAGGATTTAAGACACTTTTATTTGGCAAATTCAGGTTCTTGCTCACACTCAGTCACCAATCCATGTGGGTTGGAGACTCAAAGTTGCCATCAATTATTGAGGTAAGGGATGCCTGGGGGGCTCAGTTGGTTGGGCATCCGACTTCAGCTCAGGTCATGATCTCACACTCTGTGAGTTTGAGCCCTGTGTTGGGCTCTGTGCTAACAGCTCAGAGCCTGGAATCTGCTTCAGATTCTGTCTCCCTTTCTCTTTGCCCTCCCCCGCTCATGCTCTGTGTCTCTCTCTCTCTCCTTGAAAAATAAACATTAAAAAATTATTAAGATAAAAACATTCTTTGCTTATTTATTTCTGAATTGATATTCCTTGTGACATATACCATTTATATCCACTTCACTTCATGTAGTTGTCATGAGTCTTCAATAAGATAAATTGTGAAGTTCCTAGTTTATTCCTTAGGTGCTCAACTTATTTTTCTCTCCTTCCCACTTTACACTGGGACTTAACAAAACTCTTAACTGGTCATTCTCTTCTGGCCAATTTCTTCTATCTTTAATCCATTTCACCAATGACTATCACACAAACATTCTTTAAGTATGACTTTCATTTTGTTGGAATGTAGCACCAAACAATTTGATTATTACTCTTTGATTAGACTGAGTAACCCAGAGAAGAGTAGGTAGGCTACTGAGTTATTAATCCCAGCCAAAAGCTGAGAGGAATTACAAGATCTTTTGAGGCTAAGGTAGCCTAAGTCTCTAAAATACCCTTATCTCTGCAAGAGTTCTGCAATTATATATATATATATATAT